CGCTGCAGAGCGATGGCAGCAAGTTCGACTCAAGCTACGACCGCGGCGCACCGTTTACATTCACAATTGGCAAGGGCCAGGTGATCAAGGGCTGGGATCAGGGACTGTTGGACATGTGCATTGGAGAGGCCAGGAAGTTGGTTATCCCGCCTGGTCTGGCGTATGGAAATCACGCTATGGGTGATAAGATTCCCGCGGGGTCGACACTGGGTATGTTTGCTTTATGCGGAGAGTTTGGGTCTGGCTAATGGTGTGCAGTTTTCGAGACCGAGCTTATGGGCATCGATGGCGTGGAAAAGGAACCTGCGAAACCTGTTGAGCCTTCCAAGGCGGCCCCTGCGACACCGACACCGACTGGCATTACGGATGACAACGTCAATTCCAATGACGAAGAAGCCGCACCCGAAAACGTACCCAGACCTACATCTACACCCTCGTCTGATGCTGCTCCGGCAGAGACCAAGCCTGAGAAGACCGCAGTGCCAGCCGCCGAGCCTAGCAAAGCCGTAGCCGCACAAGGAAACCCGATGGATGGCGAGAGCGACAAGGGCGAGTGCAACCTCCTTGGAAACTTTGCACTCATTGTACAAGGTTTCCTTGGGCTACTCGCCGTATCCTCTCTTGCAATCAAGAGGCTGAGGGAGTCTCCGCGGAGACCTATGAAGATCTGGTTCTTCGATGTTTCCAAGCAGGTCTTTGGCTCGGTTCTGTTGCATCTGGCAAACGTTCTGATGTCTATGCTATCCTCCGGCAAATTTGACGTAGCAGCAACAACCAGCGCGACAACGAAGTATGCTGGAACCAACGAGGAGGGTGACCAGCCGAATCCGTGCTCCTTCTACCTCCTCAACCTGGCCATCGACGTAAGTTCATTCCCACGAACATCTGCAATCAGCAACTAACAATGCCAGACCACAATCGGCATCCCAATCCTCGTCCTCCTCCTCAAAGTCCTCCACGCAGCATTCGCGAAAACCCCTCTAGCCAACCCCCCAGAGTCGATCCGCAGCGGCAACTACGGCCAACCACCCCGCGCAACCTGGTGGCTCAAGCAATCGATAATCTACTTCCTCGGTCTTATCGGCATGAAACTCTGCGTTCTCGCCATTTTCGCCTTCCTCCCGTGGATCGCATGGGTAGGAGACTGGGCATTGCGCTGGACCGAAGGAAACACGGCACTGCAAATCACTTTCGTCATGTTCATCTTCCCGTTGATTATGAATGCGTTGCAGTACTGGATCATTGACAACTTTATCAAGGACCCTGAGCATGGTAGCGGTGGTGCTAGTGAGGGCAGGTATGGTGTTGTTGGTGAGGATGATAGCGAAGATGAGGACGACGAGGAGTGGTTGGAGCGCCAGAGGCGGAGACGTGAGGCGGGTATCGATGGTGAGGACAGTGATATCGAGGCTGCTGAGGTGGATCCGTTGAAGGAGGCTAACCCCACGATGGTACCGTCGAGGAGTAAGAGTTTAAAGGCTGGAAGCGACTATGACCCCGCTGTTGATGGGGCGAGTGGTAGCTTGAAGACGAGGACTGAGTAGGGTGATTGTAGTGGTTTGTGGTGTTTGCATTATCAATTGGCTTAGTTTGTGTGCTTGTCTCATAGCGGCTCGGGGTTTCGGAATAGACGTGCATCATCTGTGCAGAGAAACGATATTGGTATTTTGTGCGAACGTGACGACTACATGTCTCCTACAACATCGGCTTAATCTCCGCCGCCTCCTTGAAGTCCGCACCAGTCTTCGACCGCACCTCATCCACGGTAACACCATCCGCAAGCTCAATGAGCGTCAAGCCCTCTGTAAAGTCGACATCAAACACACACTACACAATCATTAGTCTCCCATTCAAACCAGCCAAAAAGGACAAGAGGGGTCCTTACCAGATCCGTAATAATCCTGCTCACGCACGCCTTACCTGTAAGCGGGAACTCGCACTGCTTAAGAATCTTGGGCCTCCCCTTCTTATCCGTATGCTCCATGGTAACAACCACCTTTGTCTTCTCCGGATTACTGACCAAATCCATCGCACCGCCGAACCCCTTGACCTTACCGGGCAACATCCAATTCGCCAAGTCACCTCTGGCAGAGACTTGCATAGCACCGAGGATAGTCAGATCAATCTTGCCCGCACGAATCATACCGAAACTCTCTTCAGAGCCGAAGCACGATGCGCCGGGGAGTAAGGTAACAGTTTCCTTGCCTGCGTTGATGAGGTCGGGGTCTTCGAGGCCCTTTTGCGGGTAGGGTCCTAGACCGAGAATACCGTTTTCGGATTGGAGTTGGACTTCTACGGAGGGGTCTACGAAGGAAGGAGCGAGCATGGGCATGCCGATGCCTAGGTTGGCGTACATGCCGTTTTTGAATTCCTTCGCGGCGCGGCGCACGATGCGTTCGCGTTTCGAAGCTGCGTCGCCGGCGCCGAGAGCCGATACGGCTTCCTTCGGGTCTTTTGCGTTGACGACTTTTTCGATCTTCTTTTCGGCCGTCGATTGGATTACGCGGTCGATGTAGATGCCAGGGACGTGGACGGCGTTGGGAGGGATCTCGCCGGGCTCAACGATGTGCTCGGCTTCTACAATGGTAGTCGTTGCATTGCGCGCCATGGCGCCGTTGAAGTTTTGGGCGCTGAAGCGGAATTGTACGTTGCCTAGGCGGTCGGCTTTGTAGGCTTTGATGAAGGCGTAGTCGCCTTTGATGCTTTCTTCCATTACGTAGCTTTTGCCTGCGAAGACCTTGACGTCGCGCGGTGTGGAGTATTGGGCTACGCTACCGTCGCTGTTGTGCTTGAGGGCTAGTTCGCCGGTTTGTACGACGGTGCCAAAGGCCGCGGGTGTGTAGAAGGCTGGGATGCCGGCACCGCCTGCTCTACATCGCTCTGCGAGGGTGCCTTGGGGTGTGAGTTCGAGCTCTAGCTCGCCGGTGAGGTACATTTGCTCGAGCACTTTGTTCTCGCCTACGTAGCTGGCAATCATCTTTTTGACTTGCTTGCTTTCGAGTAGTAGGCCGAGGCCTCCTCCAACGATGCCGGCATTGTTGGACACGGCGGTCAGGCCTGTGATGTGCGGTGTGCTCTTTACTTGGTGGATGAGGGTATCTGGGACGCCTGAAAGTCCGAAGCCTCCGCATAGCAGCGTACTGTCAGAAGCCATGTCTTCGATAGCCGCTGCGGCACTCGGGTAGACCTTGTTGATCTCATTGCGGCGGAGAGATGAAGAGAAGGAGCGCGAAAGGTTGAGGTATGTCTATCAGTGTTAGCAGCCGTTTGAGAGTACCAAGAGAAGGTTGAGTGACTTTTGTTGTGCTTCGCGAAAAGGTGCGCGCAGTGCGCAGTGTGAGGGATACTGACGGCATACTGGGCTGGGCTTTGCGCAAATAGACAAACTTCCAGACTTCCAATATATGCTGTGCAGCGCTCAACTCACAGACTGTGGAGGTGTATATGAGAAATCACTGTGGGGAGAACCAGAGCGCTCCCGGATATCTGTATACCCAAGCATTGTCGCAGCCTCGGGAAGCTCTAGTATGGGTTGCGTCGGCATCTTGACGCGGGAGGGCGGAACAGCGCCGACGCGGAATGTGGAGGAAAATCGAGGGCCTGGAATGCGGAGTCGTCAGGTACTGCGCGGTGATTGGGTGGGTTGTGGCTGGCGCGGACTTGTTTTCCTCGTGGCCTGGTAGCTCCGGAATGTCAGACAGCGATGAGCAAGCGCGTAAGGTCGTGAGTCTTTCTTCATTCACACATGTACCCAAGCTACTCGTAATTTGACTCATCCAACGGATACACGCCGCGTCCTACCTTCCGTACATCTCTCCGACGGTCTACTGGCGCTGATCTGGATCGATAGCGCGTCTACCTGTACAGGTAACTTGAACATGGCGAGACGTACACGAGAGAGCATGACCCAAGGAGTTGAGAAGCTGCACCCAGCTTTCATTAGAAGCGCGTGTGCTACATGCATTCAGAAAGGCAGGGCAATGCGCTCGTTCGAATGACAACCCTCTGGCATACGTTTTCTAGACTTTTTTCCCTGTTGTTTCGTCGGTTTATCGTCGCTTCAAATGAGCCCTCCATTCGCAACTCTCCTCGTCGTCTAACGCGTATTATCCATTATGGCGCTTCTGTCAGCGATTCTGGCTAGAAGAACACCCAAATCGCACTCTTTTTACTCTCACGTCGCGTGACAACAAGGATAGACCTCAGAAAGCAGCAAGACATAGCATTGTAGAGGATTATGCGCTCTGCAGTCCTATTTTCGTAGAATTTCGCTGACACCTTTGTTGTATGGAAAATCAGATAGGGTGAGGTACCCCAGTCTTCTTCTCCCCCTTTATTCCCTCTCAGGCTTAGCGCCTTATCTAATCAGCGAAAGGTCCGAGGACTTTCCAATGCGGATCGTTAAAACCCCCTATTCCATCTACAATGCCGTGCACCGGAAAGAGAAAGTGGGAAGGAAGTACGCCACGGGTTACGGAGGACCTGGAAAGACCTGGGGTAAATCCACTCCTCGAATGTTTCAATAAAAGGAGCTCACTGAGAGATTATCTGGATGCTCTGGGTTTGACTCTCCCTAGGTATAGCGAATGGTCCACGACCCATCCCCATTTCTTTCATAACGATGTACAACGACTGTATACAGATATCTCGGAAGCGGTGGCGGTTCATCAAAAACTACTAGCCGACTGTCCGGATATACGATTGGAGTTCACAAAGCCCAGCTGCTTCAAGCAAGATGCTCAAAGCTTAATAACGCGGTACGGATTCATATGGGGGGACGATGACTGCAGAAGGGCCCACAACGAGCTCCGTATTAGCCAGCCGAAAGATAAAGCGACGTAAGATTTTTGTATCCGGGGAAGACGTAAGCTGACAAGTTTAGTATCGAAACAATATTGAGATGTATCATTGGGAAACGCATCTACTACTTCCTGAAACATAAGAGAGAGAAAGTCAATAAAGGGAAAGTGAGACAACGGGAAGCTGCTCCTGCCTTGGCCATGCGCTCTGTCAGAGCCCCTCTGGACGAGAGCATGGCCACATCTTACTCGCCCACTTCCATGGCTGCCCATGGCGATGTGGAAGAATCTGAACGCGATGATTCTGTATCGGATTGGAATCCCAACACGGAACTTTCCTCGAGTATATGGGATAAGCGGAGCGAACCACGGCTAAAGAGGATGAGATCTGGGATGCTGAAGACGCAACCAGCAGTTTCGCCCTTCGGTTCAGTCACACCGACACCAGAGGAAGAGCATCTCGCGCATACATGTCTAGAGCTTCTTAAGCAACCCTCTATCAGTCCCATCTCGCCTCGCTCCAATACCGAAGTCAGCTTTGACGAAATCGGCAAAGATTCAAATTTAGACTACGTGCATACGCACCCAGTCCCAGAGCAAGAGGAGGAGATACCGGTCCATGACCCAGCACATGCTTGCGATGATCAAAAACCTCCCAAGGACCTCAACGCAGACAAGGAGATACCGGCCGAGGAACCAGCACATGCTGGCGACGCCCAAGATTCTTTCAAGGACCTCAACGCAGAAGAAAAAGAGAAACATCTCCAAACCATCGCCTTCGACGAGCTAGTCGAAGTGCTCCAAGTCTCAAACCCGCAACACACCACTCTGTCCAAACTCGAGCCGTACGCAGACACCCTTTACACGCCCAAGACATACGAAAGAATGAGCATAGCACTAGGCCCTGTCTTTGACCAGGCCTACGAAGCGATGCAACTATGGCACGCAATCCACCGCAAACTAAAAGAATTCAGAGAGACGACCAAGTATGAGGGCAAGGCTGGTGCAGACTGGCAGGCTTATAAGCAGGCGCTGAGATCGGTTTCTTGGAAGGAGTCCTTGCCGGCTATGACTGCGCATCGTCAGCTAGGTCTGTTTGTGGAGGAGATGAAGAAGCGCGGAGAGTGGTTTGCGTCTAGTGAGGGTTTTGCGGACGATTTAGCGAGGTTCTATGCTGCGTTGCTGCTGCCGCCGAATATATCTGCGGAGGATCTTGTTGGGGGGTTTGAGGAGTATAATGTTGAGTTGCTCAAGTGGTTCGAGGCTGGGGGATGATGGGAAGGAGACGTTGTGGTTGGGTTGAGATGCAAGATAGCGGAAAAGGTGTGTGGCTTCGGATAGGATACGGGATGGAAGCGAGATCTGATCGTATACCAGCCCATGTTCATGACTCTTACATATATTTAAAATGTCGATCCATAGCAAAACATTGTCACAATAGGAGTCAGTTCGGTATCTGTCAACTACCAGTCACTTTCTACACCACTCCAACTCATTATCGAAGACTCATGGCGGGAAGAGTAGATATATTTCAACTTTTCTCGCTGCTTTCAGGTTCCTACATACACCATCCTCCCTCAAATCTACTACTACATGCAAAACACTGCTCTCTTCCTTATCAAAATCCATCTACACTACGCAGACGATCAGATACTCATAGACCTATACTATTCGTCCCCCGAACTAAACCGCCACGATGATCTTGGGACTCGACCACTTCACCTTCAACGAAATCTGTTTCTCTGTCATGATAGCATCCTATTTCCTGGTGAACTTGATCAACCTCAGCAATGCGACGCCTATGGGATCGGGCTCGGCGATCGAAGGAACGATGGCTATGAGTTCAGCATTCGAAGCGATATCCTCCATGGCACCCGCTGGTGTACTTCCTGGTGTTCCTTCTGGTGGTGCGTCTCATGTGGTGACTCCGCTGGCTGGATCGGGTCAGGCTGCGGGTGGATCGCCGACTGCTACCAGAGCCGCACCCCAACCTCACGAAACTCTCGACTACGGCCCTGTAAATACGCCGGATACGGGCTGCGAACTCGGTAATGCCATCGTCGTAAACAAGTGTTCCGTTCCCGTCAACATCAACACCATCGGTGGATTCCGCTTGAACGGAAGCCGTACGAAGGAGCAAGGGTATGGCACACCAGAAGAACAAGTAGTTTACCCCATCGCTCCCGGCGAGACTTACACCGAAGGATTCCGTAGCACTTGGGTCTCCCCCGACGATGTCAACTCTCAGGGCTATAACCTAGATACCGATAAAGTATTCGGCCAAGGAATCTCGATCAAGATATCCTGGGCCGACAAGCCCGGTAACAACAATGTCACACAGTTCGAATACGCTCTGACCTACAACCCCAGAGCTCCGGAACCGTACCCTCTTCTTTGGTATGATGTCTCGCTCTTGGACTGCGGTAAGCCGGCTAAGCACAACGGCACCGATTTCACCGCCACGGATGCGGACTACAAGGCCAAGACAGATCAGTGTCCCGGGTACCAGGGCGGGCTAACTTTGAAGTTCGAGCCTGAGGCGGGTATCAAGAATACATGTCCGGAGATTGATTGCGAAGGGGAGTGTCGCGACATCTACAACTTCGATAGGACGAGGGAGCATGAGCCGACGAAACAGTGTTGGGGTGAGTTCAAGGGGAACATGATCTTGAGCCTGTGTGCTGGAAGTGGTGAGGGCACTGCCAGCACTCGCAGAGGGGTTGGAAAAGACGAGGATGTCCAAAGCGCTGGAAGTGTCTAGATCAATGTGGCTTGCGGTCGTTTCATTGATGGTTGTTGAATGAGCGGTGTTGTCTTGTCGGTGTGTTTGAGGCTTGCTGGAAGTTTAGTAGTAGATGTATTTGTCATTCGCTTGGCCTTTTACACGCTTACATTCTGGTGACGCAAAAGTGAATTTTGTTAGGTCGTAGGGTAGCTGACCCTTTGATTTGGGAGATATCGTGTATGGCGAGTGTTGTTGTTCATGTTCGCGGTGTACTGGCGCAGGAAATGGCGAGACACTTTCACGTGGTCTGTGCCGCAAGGTTAAATCCGATGCTGGTGCGCAGGCAGATGGTATTTGTAAGATGTAGATGGTCCTTTGTTCATACACCATTAAATATGCGAAACAGCTCATTCTTCGGTAATAATCATGATTCTTCATGGAGAGATGTAGTGCCAGATCTTGCACGGATAGGCTACGCGCGGCTTAAACGTTCGTGTTCGCGTCATTGGGGTGGCGATCATCACGATCTGATCGGCGATTGCGTACCGTGGTTGTTCCATAGGTAAAGCTCCGCGGACCCTGGATAACGGTTCGCACAAAGATCATCCTCACCGACGACGGCTGTGGCGTCTCGATATTGAGATTGCCAGAAGATCTGCATTGGGTAGTAATGGGCAATGTAAGGTACCCGTTCGAAGACTTCTGGATGATGATTGGTAGGGGTAGACGTTCCGAGCGTCGGAACGGAAGCGCGGTAAGTCGCGGATGCTGATAAATTGCGAGTACAGGGCTGCGACGATGCATTATCTGATCTCACGATACCTCTGCCGAGGGTGACGCGGGCATGAGGGTGGGTACCTGTCAGCCGTGGTGTTCGCACGTGAGGCAGGTACCCGCCAGCTGACGGGTAGAGATTGTTAAAGTTTGGATCGCAGCGTGTCTCGCATGGCAGGTGCTCGGCACATTGTTACCACGTTGTCTTGACAGGAGCTAGAAGAATGGAAGCGCCAAAGCCGCTGAGGCTTCCTAGTGTACTCTGGTATACTGCAAGATCCAGCCGGATGGTCCGCCCTCAAGCACAATGACACCACAAGTGGCTCCATGGGCTACTTGTAGGCAGGCGCAGATTCGGGCCGAGACGCGACAGGACGGCCAAATTTGCGGGATAGCGTATTCAACACGTCAATCGAAAGAGGGACAGCAGAGTCGCTAGTGAGGCTCTTGAGTAGTGTAGAGAACGGCGGTGCGTCGAGCGTCTCTGAGGCTTCGGGAAGGAAAGCTGCTGGCGCTAGCCGGACTGGGACGTCATGGGAAACCGTCTTGGAAATGTGCAGGGGTACCCATCCAATGGGGAAACGTGGCATCCCGTTGGCCATGGCTAACGTAGTAGTTGACGCCATGTAGAGCGCCCCAACAGCGGTGGGCGGGGATGGGTGGTGAAGGTAGGATCACGATGTGTAGACAGCGAGGATGCAGAATGCGGTGTCGACGGGCGGCGGGCGAGGGCAGTCGAGGTTGGGCGTCGCTGGTGGTTTCTAGATGGGCGCGGCTGGAGTACAGAAACCCTGATGACGTCGCTGGCCGTGATCTAGCGGCTCGCAGCCAACAGTCAATTTCGTCCAAGCGGGCGGCTGTAATGAGACAGGAGCAAGACGGTCCCTCGCGCCAATACACATCATTTACGCGATCCACGATCTATCCAAACTGCTTTTGTCCAACGCGTGCAGTGCGCGGCCTCGACGTTTCTGTAAGTGCATGCGGGCGTGTGTTGAAGCCCACGGGCGCGAGGCTATCCTGCTCCTGATCCTGGCATGAGCCCACCACCTGATTCTTACTCACCAAGCACTCCCAGCTTGTCTCTGCGCTCCGGTGCGATTCGGCATCTGCTGGCAGTCTGACAGTGCTGTTGTTGACCTGTCCATGTGCTGAGGCCGCTTCACCGTCCATTCTTGCCAGGAGCACACTCCGCGACGTCATAGCTCACCATCCCATCTATGCCCGCCGCTACCTCGACCCCATCACGACACCACTTGCGCGTTACGTGGGAGACTGGGGAATGCAATAATGACAAAGGCCCCGTCACCCTCTCCTAATCCCAAGAGAGAAACTGCGCCGCCACCCACGACGCGCCCGCCACTGCAGAGACTGGCCGCCAGCGACGCAAAGACATATCAGTCGCAAACTTCGCAGCCCTCGCCCGGAACCCGGACCCCGAGCAGACCTCGCGACGATGCAGCCAGCGACAGCGAAATGAGCGAGGCAGAGAGCCAGCCGGGCGACGAGGGAGAAGAAGCGCCACTGAGTGAGGCCTCGCCCGACGAGATGGAGGTGGAGCGCCTGCGCGGCCTGCAACTGAAGATGCTGCAGCAACAGCAGCGGGCGCGCATGCGGAGCTCGTCCAACAATGCCGCTGTCGCGCTGGGCTCTCGCCGCATATCGCCCATCAAAGAGGAACCCATGCCGGGCATCTCGCCCACTCTCGAGGGCGCCTTTATCAGTCCAACCCCGAGCCCGAACCCGCCGCTCCCTACGGGCCTTACCACGTCGACCGAATCGACCGAGTCTGCGAGGACCATTCGCGGCAGCATGCCACCCACGCCCGCCGCCACCCATGCCGTTCGAACGCCGTCGTACCCTTTCCCCTCCGTCCCAAACACGCCGAGATGGGCCTCCGCATTCCACATGCCCTTCACCAGCCTATCCCCCACGGTCGCAGCGGGGCAGTCGCGAGAGTACGCAACCCCGCAAGAGCGCATCGCCTCCGAGAGCAGCACCCCCGCCGCATCAAGCACGCCCTTCGCCCCCGGAGGAAGAAACCACCAGAGCCCGGATGCAGAAGACCCGCGATTCCCGAGTCCCAATCTGTACGACATCGTACTGCGCCTGGGTGCCGAACCCGGCCTCGCTGCTTGGTGGACGGCGGTAACGTCCATCATGCGCGACCACTATGGAGCGGAAAGAGCCACCTTGGCAGTACCAGCGGATGCGTCTGATATTGAGAATGTGCCGTGGGGCCAGAAGACTAGCTTTACTGCCATGGGCAACGATGGAAGCCCACATGCAGCCACCTACCAGGAAGCAGCAAGCCATTTCCAGTCGGAAGAGAACCCAAGCTCACGCGACTATGAACATGCCGACATGCCTCCTTCCACCACGATCCCGGAACGCAGACCAAAGCTATTCTCGCATCACTCCTTCGCCGGCCACGAACGCCAGAAGTCCAACACGGCCCCAGATACTCCAACACCAGCGTCGCCCGGCCGGCCAAGAGGTCCAATGAGGTCTGCCAGCCATGCACCCCATATGGCTGCCAGGCCATACCATCCCCTAAGGCAGGTCTCGCAGGCTTCCTTCGATGGTGCGTCTCCTACATTTGCCAGCTCGACGCCAGGAGGTGGTCCTACCTTTAGCGATCCAGAATTCTCTAGTGTGGGAGAGCCTTCGCCTCCTAGTGCTGTATACCATGTGCTGCGTGCTCTCGACCACGAGCCAGATGCTCTCATCGACAATACAGGTGTAAATCGTGTCTTGGAGAGAGGCCGCTTGGTCACTTTGACCAGAGATTACTCAACTTCACATACGACATCTAAAGAGGACCTGGATAAGGACAAACCGGAGCAGACCAAACCTTCTGCGATACAGGGCAGTGCTGCTGCACAAGAAGCCCACAAAGCGGCCGCTGCTCGTGGCCGTGCCAATCTGGCTACGAATGATCCCCGCCTGCCGCAACGCTATGAAGAGTACGAACAGTATCCAAGTTCACCATGGGCACAGTCGCCCGCCCCATCGCCGGCTATCCAGAATGATGCTGACGCCAATCCATTCTTCGCTACAGGCAATGTCGACGAGGAGACATTCAACCCATCGCGTTCACCTCAAGACTACACACAGTATGGCATGGTGGAGGCCATTGGCGTTGACAAGGCCAGTACCGTCACACACATACCCCTCGTGCATCCCATCCTATCTCAAGTAATGGCGTCCCCAGCAACCTCGACACCAAATCAAACGCCGGCCTTGACGCGAAGACAGTCCGAACAGTCCATGTCAACGTCGCTGAACAACGATGGCTTCGTGCGTAAAGCGCCTATTGCGATTCTTTCCATACTGTCGCCCATCGTTCCATACCCGCGCAACCTCACCAACTCATTGAAACACCTCGGCCCTCACCTTGCTACGTCATTCTCCAATGCTTGGCACTTCACTAATGCTCAAGCTCAAGTCGCGTCGGTCCGACAACGGCGCATGACAGCTGGCACTTCTGGCGGCATTAGCCTCCCCTCAGATTCCGATAGCCTCGATGATCTGCTCCACCTTGATCTAGAAGACATCACCAACTCAGCAGCGGGCAGTGTTACTAGTCCTTCCGACTACTCGGGTCGATCCAAGCACAGTCCCGGAGACTCCATCGCCGGGACACCCGGCTGGGACACTTCTTCTGTCGGATTCTCGAGCAGACACTCCGTGGGCGGCACGCCTGGCCATCTCGCAGGCAGCGAAGCGGTTGAGAGTTACTTCGATGCGCGAAAACAATATGGCAAAACGCTGAATGCTCCAACTTCTACGCCTCATGAACAAAATGCACGCAAGACAGACAAGCGTCCCGCAAAGCGAGTGACTGTAAACCCAGTAGCCGAACAGGCCAATGACGATGCTTCCAAAGCACGTAATGATAGGCCCGACGATTCGTTGAGCACGCGTCGCGCCCAGATGCAAAGCAACTCGAATCGAGGTCACTCGTTCTTGCACTCATACGGCGCAGACTTCAGCTCGTCGTTCCAGTCTTTGCCCTCGGCGACAACACCCGGAGGAAAGCCTCAGGCTTCGCATGGTCACGTGAGGAGACCATCCATCACCGAAACGTCTGACATGCCACCTCCTTCAGAAAGTCTACTCCGCACAATCACCGACTCATTACCGGTGCAGATCTTCACCGCCGCTCCCAATACCGGAGCAATCACTTGGGTCAACTCCAAGTTCCTCATATATAGAGGCCAGGATCAACGCCAGGTGTTACGAGACCCATGGGATTCAAT